GCAAAGTTTTTCCAAGTGTTTGTCATATTGTGTGTATGATATCTGTAAAATAAATTAAAACGATGCATAAAATTGATCAAAGGTGACAGTTAAGACATTTAATGCTACAAGATATTTCTATTTCAAATAAATGCTGTTCTTTTGAACTTTCTTTTCATCAAAGAATCCTGAAAAATAAAATGTATCACAGCTTCCACAAAAATATGAAGCAGTTTTCAACATTGATGATAATCAGAAATGTTTCATGAGCAGCAAAGCAGCATATTAGAATGATTTCTGAAGGATCATGTGACACTGAAGACTGAAGTAATGATGCTGAAAATTCAGCTTTGATCACCGGAATAAATTACATTTTAACAGATATTCACATAGAAAACTGTTATTTTGATTTGTAATAATATTTCACTGTTTTTACTGTATTTTTGATCTAGTAAATGCTGCCTTGGTGAGCAGAAGAGACTTTTCATAAACATTAAAAAAATCTTACTGGCCCCAGACTTTTGAATGCCAATGTCCTTCAACTATAAAATACACATTATAAAGCACATTTTTAAAAAATGAAATAAAAATAAAATTTTTATTGATATAAAAAATATTTCTTTTTATTTAATTACATTTTTTTTATTATTGTTTTTTTTAATTATTATGCTTAATGCATTTAATTACTATTTATCTATTGGAGACTGTATTTTATTTATATTTCTGGTATTTTATAAAAAATATATATATATTTTATAACTGGCCAATTTTGGTCCAGTGTCAAAACTTAATAAATTAAAAAGAATGAAAGAAAGAAAGAAAGAAATTAGTAATTTCCTTTTCTTGTACTGCAGCTGTGTGTGAAACCGTTTCTTCATGATTGACAGTGATGCGCTAAAGCGAGGTTAAATATTCTTACAACATTTAAGAGGAAAAAGAGTAAAGAAACACGACCACACAGCTGTAGTGTGTCTGCGAAAGTACACTATTACATATGTGTCAGTCTGAGTGTGTGTGTGTTTAGTGTCAGTTGTGTGTACGGAGGATTCGCTTCCGTATCTCTCCCGAGCTCTCGTTTACACATGCACTCATTTTCCCGAAACATCACAAGGGTCACGGGAGCTCTCAAACACACTTATCTAAATGTGCTTTTGCATCGCTTTTCCTATTGCTCATTCTTAGGTTAGTGATTCAAACAGCTAACATCGAGTATTGAACTTCAGATGCAAATAAATGTAAATGTAAGCGATGAGACTTGCACTTGGCAGAGGCTAAAAGGGTGAAAGAAATCACATTGACTTACAGTGAAGGAGAGGCAACTACCTAGCAACCACCAAGAATACCCTAGCAACCACAAATCAACACACTTTTTACATCTACATAGTAATGCACAATCAAGCTCCTACAACACCATAGTATCATTTTTGAACATGCAAACATTCGATATTTTCTTCAAAAATGTAAAATGTTAAATTGTGGCACAGCATTAATGCACGCATGAAAATAATTTTTTTTATAATGTTGAATTTTTACTTAAGCTATCAATCAGAATTTTTGGATCAGTATTATTATCATTGTTATTATTTTAAGAAATTAATGCTTTTATTCAGCAAGGATGCATTAAATTGATAGTAAAGTGACAGTAAAGACGTTTATAAAAGATTTCTATTTCAAATAAAGGAATTCTTTTGAACTTTCTCTTCATCAAAAAATTCTAAAAATATATATATAAGCAGCACGACTGTTTTCAGCATCGATAATAATCAGAAATATTTCTTGAGCAGCAAAGCAGTATATTAAAATGAAGGTCATTTGTAACTCTAATGAGAGCAGTCTCAGTACTATGATACGGTCTAAATCCTGACTGGAAATCCTCACAGATACCATTTTTCTCTAAGAAGGATCATGTGACACTGAAGACTGGAGTAATGATGCTGAAAATTCAGCTTTACATCACAGGAATAAATTACATTTTACAATATATTACAATAGAAACCGGTTATTTGAAATGGTAATAATATTTCACAATATTTCTGCTTTTACTTTATTTTTCATCAAATAAATGCAGCCTTAAAGACCTCTTCTTTCAAAAACATAAAAAAAATTATTGACCCTAAATTTTTGAATGGTATGTACTATTTTATCCACTCTGCACAGTAATAAAGTTAACCATAAGCCAAAATGCATCACATTATGTTGTACCCGGTGTTTTCAACAAATGAATCAAAAAATACATGCTAGACGAACTTGAGCTGAATCCTTTGTAACTTTACACACAATGGAAGTGAAGCTTAAAACACAATCTTTCTGCCCTTTCTAATATTGTGTGACCTTTCTTCTAATCTCACTGTCTCTCCGTGTCCTTTAATCTTTCCATTATGACCGCGTAAGAAGTGCCTTCATTGAGGAAACACACACAATGCTGTATTTGAGAGAGCTGTGAAAAATGACTGTTGTTCTCATTGCTCTTTCTCATGTGAGTGTGTGTGTGTTGGTGTGTGTCGAGGGGAAAGACTGCAAACACAGCTGGATCAAGATCTGAGGAGACCAACACTATCCCACCCCCAAACGCACACAGAAACCAATAATCGGACTTGAATAATCGGAACATGCTTGAATGAGGGGCAAAACACTGACCAATCATGGATCACCGGAGAGCCACTGAAGCAAAATAGTCATTCAGAGCTGAAATTAAGTTGAAGCAAAGCTGATTTGTTGACTGACTAGACTGATTAAATCAATGGTTATAGAAATATATAACACTGCCCTGAATCATATTTGCTGAATGAAATCCAATACTTGCTTTTTACTAATTATGGGGTGCTGATACCAAAAATAGCTTGAGCATGTCACGTTTTCATAAAATATTATGCATTTCGTAGCATTTTTGTAAGGTGAAGAAATCTTGTATTATCCTTTAATTATAAGAAAAACTGCAACAGAGGCATAATTGCTCTCTTATGGAGGCCTGTTTCTGCCACAAATAAAAAATATAAAAAAGTAATTGTGAATTTTTATTTCATAATTCGGACTTTTCCTTTTGTCCGCCATGGAATAAAAAATAAAATGTTTGCTACTTTTTATATCACAATTCCGATTTTTTTTTTCTGCGCAATTTTGAGATTATATCTCACAATTGCAAGAAAAAATTCAGAAATCTATTTAATTCTCAGGTGATTTTTTATTTATTTTTATTTTACATTTATGAATGATTCTGAAGACATTATTGTTGTGCCTAATCCTGATTTCCACTCCTTTACAATGTTAAATGTATAGGTCATTTTGAATGCTTCTTTTTGTGATTAAACATTTGACATTTGGCTGCTTTTGTTATTTTGATGAGCGCATTAAAGCTGCTATAGTATGAAAAATCTTCATTCTTATTTTGTGAAAAACATACATGATAAAAAGTTTTTATTCATATTTTTGAACTCAGCATCATCAAATTAGGTAATATTGGGCTTTGTTTGCAAATCAACAGAATTTTTTTATTTTAAGATGCATGCATGAACATCAATCCAAATAGGATCATAAGCTGTTTTTCACTACATTGCACTGAAAATCCAAACTTAGCTTCATCATATTTTTTCATTTACAACATGTTTATTGTTTTGGTGTGCAAATATTGGAAAAAGACTCAATTGAAGACTCAGAAAGTCAATTCTCTTGCTATGCAACACTAAACATGCACAATCGCATGCACACACACACATGCACGTCCACGTTTGCTTTCATGTGTCTATTCTTTGAAGTGGCCACCAGAGAACAAAAGCCTCACTTTATACACAGCAGATCAGCAGGGAACACAAAACACACACTACACACACACCTCAGCAGGGCTACTGGACATCAGGCTTTGAATATGTCAAAGGTCCTGTCATAACCACATCAAAGGCACATGCCCGCGTACGCACACATGCACACTATCCATAAAGATAGATTGCATTGGTGATACAAAAGAATATTTGATTTGCTTATAATGCAGTAAGATGAAAGAGCCCCTCAGCATGGGCCGAACGGAGGGCAGGGCGTCCTGCAGAGAGCTCCAGTTACCCCCAACCACCACACCCATCCCCCTTTTCTTTGCCTCTCTCTCCATAACTTTTATAGTGGAGTGGATTTATCATGTGATTATATGATTTCATCCTAGTTCTTCTCAACTTGATTTTAACTTCAGCTTTGACCAGTTCTTGCAGCTTACTATTCAGTTTTCAAGCATTGACTTTGTCCCTCATTTTTAGACAAATATTGCATCACAAACATAAATCAATCAGCAGCCATCTTAAATGGATTTCAAAGTATAGATAGATTGCATAAAAATGTAACTTTTGACTACATGGAAATGTAAATCCTTTAACCATGTTAATAAAGCTAACTGAAACGTGTTAAAAACAAACTTTTTCGTATTTATCTCTGAAAGCTGGAGAAGGAACGCAAAAATTGATTGATTCAACAACGGATTCGAACGGTCTTTTGAACCAACTCTATTCGAAAGTTCTTTTGAACCGACTCTATTCGAAAGTTCTTTTGAACCGACTCTATTCGAAAGTTCTTTTGAACCGACTCTATGAAATGATCCTTTTAGAACCGATTGGCATTTGTTTGTAGATCAGTGATTTTTTTTTTTTTTTTAAGCAGTAAACAACATTGTGAGTTTGGAACGATGTTTTTAGTAGTAACAATAACTTTCTGGATTAATAATATTTGGAAAATACTACAGTTATTTTGTGTGGTTTATTTAGAAACATTAAACAATACAAAATCAACGCAATTTATATAACCTAATTTGAAAACACAGACATAAACAGCGATTATGACTACAAAAATGTAACGCTAAATGCCAGAATCCGGTGAATCATTTATTCGGTTCGTACGAACCAATTGATTCGCTAAAATGATTCGGACGCTATTGCCAACAACGTGTTATGTTTCAAAATCCTTCACATACATTCAAGGCTGATTAAACTTTCTTCCGTTCTTTACCCAGTGTGAATAGAGGAGATGCCATTGATTGGACTTTAACTGCGGTGAAGCCACGCCTCCTGCTGTGGGCGGGGTTTAAAGTTTAGTCCAGTTCTGAAACTCCTGCGCTCGCTGGAACTGCAGTCAGTCAGCAGCTCACTGCTCGGCTCGCGCGGTACGGACTGATCTACAGAAAGAGAGGGAAGGTTTAGTTTAGAACAGATCAGTCTTTTAGGTCAGACAACAGTATGGAATCAGTAGGTTTTCGTTTGGTTTAATTATAGCTTTGGAAACGCAGCGGACGGAAGGACTTCACGCACTCGCCTCTGGATAACCGCAGTGTCTCTCTGCGCAGTGATGGAGGTTTTGGGCTTTAGGCATTTTGCGCTTTGGATTTCATTCCTGACGGGTTTCACGATGGCCAGTTACTCAGAAGACCAGTGCAGCTGGAGGGGAAGGTAAATATCATCAACATGCATGAGTTAAATGCTTTATATCTGTTCATTTTTAATATCTTGCATATCATGTTTACAATTTGTCCTGGAATGCATTGATTCTTCTGCTATCTTGCATGATTTCGGTGCAATTTAAAGTGTGCAAAAAAGTATGCAAATAATTACAGTAACGTAAATCATTAATAAAATATTTCGTATAAATAGTTATAATATGCAATACTCATCTCTTATATACACACATACATATATATATATATATATATATATACGTGCTTGAATTGCATTGCATATCTATCTATCTATCTATACAGTTTGTGGATATTTTTAGTAATAGTATAGTTATTGTTTAAGCAAATATTCTTAGAAGCCAAACCGATTGCTCAAAAAAGGGTAAATTAAGCACTTTGCTTGTAAAATATAAGGAAAAATAGAAATATAAGGGAATGAAAGCTGTGATATAAGGGTTGCAGTTCTAATGGTTGTGTAAGGATGTTTCCACTAGTGCAGAAAGTTTAAATGGCTGCAGTTAAAGTAACCAGTAGGGGGCGTTGAACTTTTCCTGCAACTTTATGCACTGGTCAAATGACTCAAGACTCAAGTTTTGAGAAAACACAACACAAGGAATGACTGTTTTTGTGCTTGCACCAGATTTAATGTGGATAAGCTGACTCATAGTGGTTTGACCTGCTCAGATTTCTCTGGTTAACCTCTTCTGGTTTCCATCTCTGCAGTGGTCTCTCTCAGGCAGTGAAGAACGTGGAGCAGGTTTGGTTGAGGTGTGCGGAGGGCTCTGTGGAGTGGCTGTACCCTGCTGGAGCGCTTCGTCTCACCCTGTCGCCCCGACTGCCGTGGAGCGCCATGGGTCCCGGCGAGTCCAGCAGGAGCCCGGTGTCGGCCTGCATCAAGCCGGATCAGCACTGGGGCGGGGCTCAGCTCTACCTGAAGCGGGACGGAGTCCTGGAGCTTCTGGTGGGAGACGAGACCTCCAGCCCGGCCCATGTGCGCTGCTTCAGTGCCATGCCTGGAGAACGACCGGCACTCTTCTTGCAAGCCACACCTCACCAGGACATAAGCAGACGCATCGCCACGTTTCGCTACGAGCTGAGAGGGGATTGGACGGCGCAGCCGTCAGTCAACACAGACCCAATCAGCAGCGAAGGTGAATATTCTGGAAGATACAGCAGTGATTTATGTAATATATACATAGTATGTAATGATTCCAAGCAAATTAGCACCTATTTTATGCAACAACAAAAAAAACTTATTTTATGCACACAAAAAAAATACTTTAAACGTTGAACACAGAGAATACTTTCTGAATTTAATATTAGTCCAAAATTTATCTCAAATTGCCAAAAATTACTACTACCAAATCTTCTGGACTTTTAGGGTCATCGACATGGGTTCGTTTCTGAGAATTAAACTGCAAACGAGTCCCGAGTTGATGGTTCTGCAAAAAAGTGCAATGCAAAGCTATGAAACTATTCAAAAAAACACTTATTTTACTAAAAATTTAGTTTAAAATATTAAACACAAAGTCGTAACTAACATTTATAATTGAATATCTGCCCAAAAATAACCTCAAAATGCCAAAAATCACTACAACCAACTCCTCTGTACTTTTTTGTGTCTGAGAATTAGCCTGCAGGAGAATCCGGAACATTTCTGCAAACCTGTTTTGATGAAAAATTGCAATGTAAACGATATGAAACTATGCAAAAAATACTTATTTTACTAAAACATTGCTTAAAATATTGAACCGAGAACGATCTTGGAATTCATATAACTGGGAACTAACATTTATAATTTGATATTATCCCAAAAATAATCTCAAATTGCCAAAAAATACTACTAGCATCTCTTAGGTATTTTTAAGATCATCTACATGGGTTCGTTTCTGTGAATTAAACTGCAGTTGAGTCCTGAATGTTTCTGCAAACCTGTAAAAGTTGGTGGTTCTGCAAAAAAACTGCCCAAACACTATGAAACTATGCAAAGTTGGAGATGAAGTTTGAGTCGAGTGACCTCTGGGTGGATGGGGGTGCAGAACAAGGAGCACCAGACAGCCAAAACCAGTCATGAACAGAGCATTCATTCAAACTTTAATGAGACTTGAACTTTGGAGAAATGCATTTCAATGTAGATCCACTGTGTGAAGACTTGTGCTTCTCGAGGAACACAAACAAGCTGGAATTCTTCACTTTTAATTGCGATCTGCAATTGTAGCACTGCAGTTATTTAAATGCAATAGGTTTGAGTAATAGTTTTAGGTCGTCTCAGCTGGGAAGCTCCTTCCAGCCAGTTGTGAGAAACGGGGGAGGAGTGTTCGGATCCGAAGAGCGGAAAAGCCAAGAGTGGAGGGGGGAGGGAGAGAAAGACAAAAGCTTCGTATGGGACGGGGGTTTGTCTCCATAGTGAGCCGTTTCGGAGACCTGCATGAGAGCGCAGTCGCCGTGGTAACGGGGGGGTTGGGGGGGAACCGCGCAACTGAAAAGCGGATCTTTTGTTGGGAGTTTTGGGAGCAGAGAGGAGACAGGGAAGGATGTTTAAAAGTTTTAAAGGGCCAACAACTTTCTCGCTCTCACACCCACACAGACACCTGTTGCTGTTTGAAAGTGCACATGTGACGCTGCACAGCCTGCAGAAATCAGGTCGAGATGCATTCAATAAACTTTCAGTAATCATGACTTTAAATAGTGCTCAACTTTACGTAATGCTCAACCAATATGGCCGACATCTAGAGTGCAGAATGGCTGATATAATTAATGTTTCTAATGATACAAATGAATGCGATGGACACACATTTTTAAATTAAGGGGCCGTTTACACGACATTTTCAGCCAAAAACGGGAAACTTTTTAATAGTTTTGCCTGTTCTAAAATAAATTAAAATTAAATAAAAATTGATGAAACCTATATAGACATAAAAATAAAAGTGGCATAAACAAAATTACTAAAACTTTAACTAAAATGAAAATTTTAATTCAAAATTAATTCAAAAATTAATAAAAAAAATATAATAGTATATCGATAATCACTAGTGTTGATTCAAGAATGTGTTCCACATATTAATTTGTTGTGATTTTACAAAAAATAAAATCACAAATTAATTTGAAATCTTTTAGACACTTTCTGAATCTTGTTTATTAAAATATTTTAATTTCTACATTTAATTGGACATATATATTGACAAATATAAAGTAAAAAAAAAAAAAAGTTTAGACATGAGCTAGGACATTTAGATTAATGCAGCCTATTGTCTTTCCACCAAAGCCTCGTTTTCATTGGTTTCAAATTAATGAAGCCATCTACCCTGACTTAAAGCCTAGAAACTATAGTTAACATGGTACATTTTTGTAAACGTATATATACAAACATCCAGCATCTTCAAAACGACACAAACTTGAAGAATGAGTCAGTTTAGTTTCTGTGTGGGTGGGTTTTGTGAGATCAGCTGTTCAGTTTACTTGCTTTACCAGCTCATATAGATCAGCCAGATGAACGTTACAGAGGAAGAGGGAAGTGTTGGGATCTTGAATGAGGACACACACACCTCTCTCATGAGCTTTGATCAGGTGACATGGCTCACACCTATCTATCAGGTGCTCATTTACATCATCACACCTCCACCGAAGAGCCGTTAAAGTAACAGCTGCGCGTTACGCCTCATCTTTTGGTGTTCATGTTCTTCTGCGTCTCATGTTCTCTTCTCTTTCTCTCACAGGAGCCTGCAGGCCATGCAATAACACTGAGATCCTGATGGCTGTGTGCACTAGTGACTTTGGTGAGTATTTGAATTGACTTTTTGTTCTAGTTTTTAGGATAAATGCGCTTTTATCCAGAGCAATCAGCAGGGCGTTTCCTGTAATGGTACTGGCTCTTGGATAGCAAGAACCTCAAACCTACAACCTTCAGCTACCAATCCAGATCTTGAACCTTTATGCCAAACTTTCTGGTGGTTTACAGTTAAAGGGTTGGTTCACCCAAAAATGAAAATTAGCCCATTTATTTAACTTCTTTTGGACTGATGCATGCAACACCCGCTGAGTGGCATTAAACAGCTTGGAAGATCAAAGACAATTTTTAATATAACTCCGACTGGATTCGTCTGAAAGAAGAAAGTCATATACACCTAGGATGGCTTGAGGGTGAGTAAATAATGGGCTAATTTTCATTTTCGGGTGAACTAACCCTTTAAGGATTTGGACTGGCAACCTTAAAGGTCACAGGTTCAAACCCAAGTAGAGGTCAGACCTTTTGTCTGCAAGGTATTACACACCACCAGTGTTATTTTAGTATCATTAAGATACCATTATGTTTTTATTAATATTTTGAACTAGATTTATAGATAGATAGATAGATAGATAAATAGACAGATAGATAGATATAATTTTTTGTTTTTTTTAGTTAAAATTTTGGTCATTTTGTTGTGTTTTTGTAATTTTTATTAGTTTTTTTTATATATGTCTATATAGTTTTTATTATTTTTTATTTCAGTTTTAGTTTTAGTTATTTTAGTACATCAAGTTAAACTAAATGAGAAATGTTGGATTTATTTTTTCCATTTAATTTTAGTTGAAGATTTAGTAACTTTTTGTGTTTTTGTCATTTTTATTCATTTTGAAATGTCTATATATATATATATTTTTTTTTTTTCAGATTTAGTTTTAGTTAATTTAGTACATCAAGTTAAACTAAATGAAAATGTTGCCTTCTCAGCTAGCTGAAATTAAATAAGTTTCAGTTCTTTTTTTATTAGTTTATTTTTGTTCAGTTAACATTTATTTTATTTCAAGTAACGAAAATGTTTCATTTATGGTTTTAGTTTTCGTTACACCAAGTTACTCCTTGCAAAGTTCTACTGTAAACTGCTTTGGATAAAAGCAGATTTCTGATTTATTCGCACCAAACCCAGTTGGCGTCAATCCAGCGGTTTAATTTAGCGCCTTCAAATTGAATTTTCTGGTTTAGAAGGAAATCGTAAACCTACCAAAGTAGCAAAAGCTCAAGTTTGATGTTCATTAGCAATATGTACTCTTTATCAACAATCTATCCATACTAACAGAGCTTTCTGTGTTTTTAGTGGTTCGAGGAAACATCCGTTCAGTGGAGACGGACTCAAATCTGAAAGCGGCAGTGATCAAAGTGAGCGCGACGCGGGTTTACCGGCAGAAGTTTGCGCTGTTCCCGCAATCAGGGCGTCTGACGCGGTCGGGTGAGATCCGTACGGCCCTGCAGTGTGGCGCTCGACCCGGCGCTGGCAGCTTCCTGTTTACCGGCCGCGTGCACTTTGGGGAGGCGTGGCTCGGCTGCGCTCCACGCTACAAAGACTTCCTGAAGGTGTACGAGCAGGCCAAACAATCCCTGATGATCCCCTGCACTCTGGTCAACGACTGACGGAAAAACACGCTCATGTGTGGGCGAAACTCGTGATTCTGTCGCAGAAGATTCGCAGCGTCTGAGAAACTCCTGAACAGATGAAAGAGAGAGAGGTTTAGGAGAACAGAGAAAAAGACACTGTGACACTGAAACAACCAAGGAGCAAGTCTCAGCGGAGATCACTGGATTAAGATGGATATCTGACGGAGGACGTTTGTGTGTCCATGTCTGTCTAATTCCTCTCAGATTCGGGGGCCTAAACTGGGCCTCTTTTTTAAACTCAGGAAATCTTGTCTTTGGACGCTTTGATATGAACATCATATCATTGAAATATCCAAAGTCCTCATGATGTTGAGTTGGTAAATAAGCTGTACGCCATGCATGTAGCACAGTCATCTTTTGCAGTATTTGACGCCACAGAAAAACCTTGATTTGTCAGCCTGTATATGAAAAGAAAACGTTTTTAAACACTGTTTTTGTATTGAGAGTATATATTTTCTTTTTATAAAAAAATGTCGTCTTTTTTTCTAAATTTGCACTGGTGAAAGGAAGGGAAAGACGGCGATACCTGGATGCTGCAAGCACTGAGAACCAAAACGGATCTATATGTAGCATAGCAAAAGATGTTTTATATAAATATATATTTCTATAATATGGAATTAGCTATGGTTTATATGCTGAGGCTGAGGATAGCATGCAGCTAACATGAAGTAATAAAAACAGATACAATAGCAATAGTATATTAATTATTCGGTGTCTACAGCTAGCATGTGCTGATTACCTCATGGTTAACGTCACCACTAGTTTGCTTTGATGTTGCTAATGTTATCAAGCTGATATAAACTCACTGTCACACGTTCAGAGCACTTTTACTCTGATGAAAGATGTTTTTATTTTCTGTTATGGAAAAAACTAAATTGCGTTCACACTGACAGCGATTTGCAACCGAACGCCATTCATTTTCGACTTTTGCATTTGGACAAAGTTTAACTTTATGCAAATGAGCAGTGGCGGAGTAACCAATGGGAGTGCAGACAGTCATGTGATGCTGAATATGTAATTGCTTTAATCTCACGGTTAAACCGTTGTCAGTGTGAATGCACATTAACAGGGTATCCTCACAAATCTGGATTTTATTTGTAGTTTAAATAAATGTACTGCCGATATAATCTATAAAGAGAATTTATTGTCTGAAATAACACTCTCTCATGCTGTGGACTTGACCAAAACATAGACTGCTGGTCTCAGGCTGGACTGCCAACACTGTCCTCCATCGAATTCTGTTATCTGCTATTGCTTTTGTCTTTATTTTGTGCTTCATATCTATTTTTGTTGAGGAAAAAAAATTAACTTAAATGATTTTAGCAAATGGCTGCAATATAACAAAGAGTGAAAAATTTAAGGGGGTCTGAATACTTTCCGTACCCACTGTATGTGCACTAAACAAATGAACAGATCAACCAAACATTGAGAGCCAGCCGACATGCGAAGCTGCCATATTTGATGCTGCCTGAGTTTGTTATTAATGTCTTTATAAACAAACCAATGTGAATGCTGGGTGTAAAATATATGTATATGTGTGTTTATGTGGATATCAGTGTATATAAGATGTTTTAGAGTTTTAAAACTGGATGATGAAATATTCTGTTAACATTGTAGAGTTTGTATGAAAAAAATATACCATTATAAAGAACAAAAAAATCATCGGATTTGTGTTTGTCTGGTTTCTGAATTACTTATTAAATGAAAACAAGGTGCGATGTTGTTAAAAAAACTGAAATAGATTATTTTCCAATATTAAATAAATTAAATTTTTTTTAAACAATTAAAATTAAAGTAGATAATTTTTATTTAGCACTCAGTGTGAATATTATCCATATATATATATATATATATACATATACTACACTACCATTTAAAGGTTTGGGTTTGGTTTTTTATGTTTTTGAAAGAAGTCTCTTTTGCTCACCAAAGCTGCATTTATTAGATCAAAAATGCAGTAAAAATGTGAACATATGATAAAATATAATTTATTTCTGTGATCAAAGCTGAATTTTCAGCATCATTACTCCAGTCTTCAGTGTCACATGATCTTCAGAAATCATTCTAATATGCTGATTTGCTGCTCGAGAAACATTTCTGATTATTATCAATGTTAAGAACAGTTGTGATGCTTCATATTTTTGTGGAAACTGAATTTTATTTTTCAGGATTTTTTGATGAATAGAAAGTTCGAACGAACAGCATTTATTTGAAATAGAAATCTTTTGTAGCATTATAAATGTCTTTACTGAATGTCTTTTGATCAATTTAATGCATATATGATGAATTTCTTTAAAAAAACTCTTACTGACCCCAAACATTTAATGGGTAGTGTGCCTATAAACGGACGTTTGTTAGCATAGCAGGCTGTGCTGCTGTCATACAGGGCATGTTTCACTTTATTATTATTATTATTAGCATATGCATAACCTTATAATGTAGTTGTAAGGTGAATAACAGGAAAATGAGGAAGGGTGTTAGTGAGCTGTCGAGGGTGTGTGTGTGTGTGTGTGTGTTCAGGTGTACAGTGTGTATATGTTTGGACTTCCAAGAGCTCCAGCGATAGAACAGGAAATGAGCGCGACCCAACCCACTGACAGGAGCTCTCTGACCTGGATTGTGTCCATTTATATCTACACACACACACACACCCATTCATACAGGATCATCACAAACTGCATTTCAACCCAAAAACTCGCAATTCAGCTCAATCTATTTCTGTTAGCATTAAAACAAAATTACACGCAAAATAGCTCTGCGGTACATTTCTAATACTACAAATATAAAAGAGTACTTATAATATAAAAGAGTAAAAAGATGTTTCACACATTCTGTCACTACAGATCTTAGAACACACTGCAGAAATTATTTTTCAAGTTTGTAAATAAAACAAAGAATTTTGGAATATGTTTTACAAGAAAATACTATTTCAGTCTTTTTACTTTTCTAATTTCTCATTCAATTTAACGTGTTTTCTTTGTAATTGTTTAGTGAAATTCACTAGCAATTCCTGAGTGAAATTAATTTCAAAGCAAATCCTACACCATTTTTTTAAAGTGCACTTAAAATACTTAATACGTACATATTTCATGCAGTAAATTAATTATAAATTATAGGATGATTTCAGGCATTCCCATAAATAAATAAATACATACATAAATAAGTTTTCATGTTAATAAAATAAACATATTTTACCTTTAAAATGTTTATATAAATATTTAATATTATACAATACATTTCAAAAGTGTGGAATTAGTAAGAAAGAAAAATAAATTTTTGAAAGAAATTCATACTTTTATTAAGCAAGAATGCATTAAATTGATCAAAAGTGGCAGTAAAGGCATTTATAATGTTGCAAAAGATTTCTATTTCAAAATAATTGCTGTGCTTTTGAACTTTCTATTCATCAATAAATCCTGAAAAACATGTATCATGCTTTCCACAAAAATATGAAGCAGCACAACTGTTCTCAACATTGATAATAATAAGAATAAGCATATTTAAATAAATGCAGCCTTGGTGAGAATAAGAGACTTCTTTCAAAAAAATCTTAGAGACTCCAAACTTCACTTTTAAACACTATATAGTGCTATTGGTGACGTAGATTAAACTATTACTATGTTTATCTAAAATGCAGTAGTTGGTTTGAGAATAATCATGATTTAGCTTTAGGTTCTAGCATGATGATCTTCTAAAGGCTCTGGATCGCTGCGGTGAGTGTTAGCATGCTGACATGACACTTCAACCCCCGGAGAACACGACTTCTCCAGAAACACACACTTTTGTTCCTGAAGAGTCTGCAGATGGCCGTAATCCCATTGATTGAGTGCGTGAGCTGAGCTACTCAGGTCGGGGTGGCCAGTGTCTTTCTTATTTCCCGCCAAGATGACCCTAATTATCACCTCAAACAAAAACATTTGGAGTTACGTAGAAAACATGTCAACATCAAAAACATGATCATATAATCCTAAAAGTCATGACATTAACAGCGTGAACAGACCAACATCCCAACCATTAAACCTTTAGATTCACACTTTTCCACTTCAATTTCATAATAATTGTGAAATCATAAACATATTCCCTCTCCTTTTCTACTGTGTTCACTCAACATTGGTTTTAAGCCATGAAAAATGAAATTCGTTCCAAAATCCAATTACCCTCTCCTAATATTAAAACAACACATGCTGTCACACATCTTCCAACATGCACAACACGCACATATCAGTCAGCGTCTCTCAAAGACACATTAGCATTCATGTCTCTTTAAACTCCAGGGGTGCTGAGAAACCTCTCTGAGAAAAACCATTCGATTCGTGTTACTGTTGCCACAATATTTCAATAAATAATAAGAAACACAATAATTCATCAGTGACAGAACATGAAATCAGACTCACAAAAACTGCCATTAAGAGTGAACAAAACTAAACACATGTCCAGGTTACTGATCTTAACTATTGATTTACATTAATTCATTTAGCAGACACTTTTACTTTTAAGTGGTTTACAAATTAGAAATACGACAAGTGATTTATCTTAGTTAATACTATATGAGATTACTGTGTTTTGGTTACAAAAATCTACTCTAACACAATGAAATATTGGTGATTTAATGAATAAATAAACAATTCGTGATATGAATTATTTCTTAGCAGAGATGAGACTAGCGCATCCTGGTAAAAAAATAATACTATGATATAATAAAATCATACATATACATATATATAGAAACAAACACACACACACATATACAAAAAAGAATGAATAAATATTGATATTATTGTGTTATTCTGTAGCATAGAGATGAGATTATTGTGTTTTGGGTAAAAAAATATACTATAAAATAATTTAGAGATTTAGAGTAGGGTTAATATTTGTGATTTAATGAATGAGTAAGTAAATAAATATTGAAATTAGTGTGTTATTTCTTAGCACAGAGATGAGACTAGTGCGTTTTGGTAAACAAAAATACTATGATATAATAAAATCATATATATATATATATATATATATATATATATAAATGTGTTTTTAAAACCCACCTTTTTACCAGAGTTTTGGTTGATTCTTGTCCTTTTGTTTTTCTTTTTTGAATTTGTAACACTTTGAGATTTTGTTTAAATATAAAGTGCATTATAAATAAAATGTATTATTATTATTATTATTATTATAAATAATAAATAAAAAGGTCTGTGCATATATACACACAGACACACTTTTTATTTATTTATATAATATGATATAATTAATAAGTGTGAAATATTATAATATTATAATGTATAATGAAAGCTTTTTGATTTAATGAATCAAAGAATAAATAAATAAATAAAATATGTTATACACAGACAGGGTAGTTACAACGCTAACCAGCCAAACCTTGAACTCTCGAGCCCAAAATAGCTTGACTAAAGGGGGACAAGTTTAGAAACCTGTCGAAAAACAGTCATTATTTTTGCTAATTTGTTTGGTGCACAAATTAAACGTGCAGTTTACACCTCATATTGACATTATGATTTTTAAATCAACCAAATGATGTACTAAAAACAGTGATCACTCTGAAACATGGACACTGATTGGAATTGTGACCTGACTCTACCTGTTTCTCGGGACAGAGAGATAAAGTGTTTGCTCCAGCAAAAGATCACTCAACATAGGTTTATGTACTGGCATCTGAAAGCCATCAGTGACAGACAGAGGCAGATCTAGGTTAGGGGTGTTCGAGTGTTTCCCTGAGGTACAATCAGTGGCACTGCTAAACTCCTGTGATAATGGGCAGAATGTGTGAACACATACGAACGGACTGTGAGAACAGAAACACAGCCAAGACATGAGGAAAGGGCCAGAGCCTGTGAGATACCAAACGGCTCGTTCAAGAGAGAGAAAAACGCCTGTTCTTTGTGTGGAGGGCATCTGAATTTTGTCCCAATCCTGACGGATTAAAGCGCAGAACAGAGTGTGGGAAAAACTCTCGGGACCCCTCCTCTCCCTCTTTCAAACTTTCCTTCAGGTTATTTTCCTCTAGTTCCCTTCAGCCGCTCAGCATGTAGTTTCTGTCTATCTCTCGGCTCAATCTCTTGATGTTTCTCTCAAACTCTTGTGCTTTTTTCTCTCCTCTCCGCAGACCCTTTTCCCACTCGACTCCTGTCTCTCTCGCTCCTCCAGACGCGCTAAAGAGCTGAAAATCTCTCCGAACGCTTGAAATCAGCCAACAGCTGCTTCTGACAGAGCGAGAGGCGCGAGACGGAGAGAAATGTACCTTAAGATTACAAATGACTGCTAAATAAACATTTTAAAAGGCAAAAGAGCAATTTCTAGCTGAGCGTAACTAGAAAAATCTAAATCAACTATGGATATTTGTATGAATTTTTAAGATTTTAATCATTTCAAGTAGTGAAAACCACAATTTCCAGGTTATCTATGACCATGGGAACTATGAAATGCTCAAGCTAGCATGACAATTACAGTCATTTAAATAAAAAAAGACTATTTAAATATAAATTATATGCATTCTGGCAAGGTAAAAGTTCATTCATTTTCACTGGTTCTCAGTCTGTCTGAATTCACACACACTGCTCAAATTCCTCTCTCACGCGTCCCACATTCTTTCGCTTTTGTCACTTTTTTTCTTTCCTCCGTCTCACCCCCCCACGCCTGTTCTCATAAATTACTGCCGTTCACAAGGCTTGTCCCATCCACTCACACACATACACACACGCATGCTCTAACGCGGCCTGCCAGAGTTTATTAGGCACATATCGACTGAGCGTTAAAGACCAAACAAACAACTAAAGCAGCGGTTCTCATATTCAGACTGCATGCAGCTTTATAAGTGCACTTCCTGTTGAAGACGGACCCTGATGCCCAGTTGGAATATTATTTGTCATACTAAATTTCCTCACTGCTCGTAGTATCAGACACACACTCCCGAGTAGATCTTAGTGTCACTATGCGGTCAGATGATTCATGAATGACTGCTTGTAAAGCACGATGAAAACTACTATGTTATACTGTTTTGATGTTTGACTGATTATGCAAATATAAAATAACATTATAAATTATTATAAATAATATAATAAATAATTAATGTATAAATAACAATAAAATATGTAAACATTTTAATATAAAATGTAAAATAATATTATAAACAACAGTTATAATTAATGTAATTAATAAATAAAATAATATTACTATGCACATACACACACACAAGATATATAATATATAAAATCAGTAAGTATTATTTAAAATAAATGTAAGTCTAAATATAATATAAAACACATTATATCTATCTGATTTCATTCAATATTACAAAATTAAATATTGAATTTATGTGAAAATACCTCGATGCCACCCAGTGTGAGCTGGCACACAGTCGGCCGACCGGCCAACCCCCGAACCCCCCAGCAATTACCCTCACTACCCATAAGCCCCTCCCCGGCCCTGCTCCTTTCCCAGGGGTTCAGGGGCCACTGTACTCACTACACCCCGTTTCCCATACGCATAATCTTGAATTTTTTCCCTGGCTCATAAAGAGGTGCTCGAAGCCCCTCAGTCTGCAGCCCATTTCCCAAACACTCTCCCTTTATCTGCCGAGCCCACAGCCTCTTTCTGTCTCGCTCGCTCTCTTTCTGTCTTTTCCACGCTCTCTTTTAATGGATAATCTGTGCTATTTTTTTCTTTCCAGTAATATGCTTTCAAGTTTGCCCTGCAGTATTTCCAACTTTAAATTCCTAGGATGAATTCGCTTCTCATTCATGTTTAACTTTCTCTTTGAAACTGGAGGTGCAGGGCAGTTTTAAAGTTCCATTTTTTAAAATTTGAAATTTTTTATGTAAAACTTTTAGGAAACAAGCATTATATTAGATGGAAAGCAGATGGAAAATTCTCTGAAATGTGTATTTTTATTTTATTTATATTCTTATAATATTTTTAGATTTTTTTCTATAATATATATATATATATATATATATACACACACACTTATATATTTCTACATCTCCATTTATAAACAAGAATAAAAAACAAGAATTTTAGATTCTAACAACACTAAACTAAAACAGTGTATTAAGTGCTTCTAAGCCTGAAAAACACTGTTAAGACTGGCCCGTGAAACCACTGCAATTTATTTATTACGTGTGCAAATATCATGTCTGTCACTCAGTGTCATATGTTTCTCAGGGATCATGTGTGTGAACTACATGCTCTGTAATGAAATTATCTTAACCCGTCAGACAATTAATTGTCAGCAGCCTTTCATTCTCGCAGCCCGTAAAATTGACATAAGCTTTACAAACATTCCACACATAGTTTCTCAGGAAGGAAGAGCAAATTCAATCGCACACACACACACACACACACATGCATGTGTTTCTAAAGGATTAAAACACAGCAGTACAAGTCATATTGCTGTGTTGTTTCATTTTGATGATTTAACTATACATCAATAACAAATAATCAACAATTAAAGAACAACTACTTAATCTGAATCACCAATAATCAAATTTCTTAAAATGAAACATTTGAGAGTTTAGGATTACACGAGAGTAAAAATGCACTTAAAAATGCAAATGACGGTGTTAATGAGTGTTTACATGCCCAACAAAATGCTGATAAGGATCAAAAATCTGCTATTCTATAACCCTGTTTTTAGAGTTTGCATGCAAATCAGTGAACTGACAACACGAGCAAACCAGCTAAACATAAACAGACATGATAAAGCTGCTTACATGCAAAACAAAATCTAAATGTCAAGAGATTTTACTTCAACCATTTCCCTGATAACATTTAAGTGTGCTCAGTGATTGGCTAACACTGTTTATGATTATTTTAATTAGGCTTCTTATTATGAGCTGAAATTTATATCTGAATCATGTTTTTTTTTTATTTGTTTTGCAGACTGCAAAAATGTCTAACGGCATTAGCTCTATTTCAGTTGTTTATCTCATAAATGTTGTTGTTGATTGATTTACAGCGTGGGCGGGGCTTATTATGTCCTTCACTGTATTTAAAAAACTGCTGTGTTTGATTGATTTGTGGAGTCGGTGGGGCTTATGCACTGCTGCACTATATTTCATAACTGCTGCTTTTGAGTGATTTGTGAAGTGGGTGGGGCTTATGCACTTCTGCACTATATTTTATAACTGCTGCTTTTCAGTGATTTGTGAAGTGGGCGGGGCTTATGGGTTCTTGCACTATTTGATCTTCCCTCCTGTGATCCTAGCAGCCTGCGCAACCTCGTTATCTCCAGTTTATACCTGCACAAAGACGCCACACCTGAAGATCACATCCCACATAGAAAGTCATTTCCTTAATATCACAGGTGGGTGTTCAAATACCTGCCCAGGTGATTGTCCACATACTCCTTCAGCTCAGACACCCGCTCCTCGGCAACCGTCGCCCTGGCGATCAGCTGGACACGCTCCCTCTCTTGAGCTTCCTGCTGGAATTTCACTGTGTTTAACAGGGTGATGATAGCAAAGCTGTTGTCATTGTTACATGTGGGGCTACTTGTGTGTTTAGAGAATATACCACAATGCATAATGTTTGATCATAAGAGTGCTGCTATTGGTTACGGTTAATTGGTTATACTGTCACACACTGTATGGTTTCTTGTGGCAGGTATTTTGACCAGCATGATGTCACCAATAGGACACGATCCTGGATCAACATTGTTTTAAACCAATCAGACTTCAGGGTTAGGGCTTAGCTCAGGATTATTATTGTTAAATAAAACTAAAACAAAATTAATACATTTTTGTTAACTGAAATAAAATAAGATACAAATATTACATGAAAAACTAAATGAAAACAAGAAATAACAATAATATATTATAGTTATATAAATAACTATAAAATATAAAAACTATAATATACTTTAAATAACTGATTTGCTTTTGTTCTGTGATTGTCTTGCGATTTTTTTAAAGGTAGAGAATATGTATGTTTTATTGTGTCAGCTGTTTGCAAATAAGAAACCCCAATTGTAAAAAAACAAAACAAAAAAAAACCTTAAAATTAAAATGAAAAAATAAAAGCTATTTCAAAATATTAATAACTATAATAGTAAATAAATAATAAAACTTGTTCAGCTTAGACTTGAGGCTGGGGTTGCCCTTCAGCTGGTGGCGCCCTAGGCGACCGCCTAGCTCGCCTATGCCTAGAAACGGCCCTGTATGGGTAGTTAGGGGTGGTCAGGGTTGGTTACCTGTGTGGAGTTTGTTATTTCTTTGAGCTGCTTTATAACATCATTCCAGGCATCTTGGGTTAGTCCAACCCTGCACAATTTTTCCACAATAATACATAAAATCAGCACAATATTATTTACTCATAACTCTGAAAGATACTCACCTCTGAGAGGACTCTGTTAATACAGCCATCTGAAATACCAAGCACATGATCAAGTCACAGAACTAATCCATTAAATAACACACACACACACACACACCTGTTCTCGAGCCAGTTTCAGTTGGCTCTCCAGGCAGGCTTTGTCCTCTCTCAGTCTGTGTAGCTCTCTGTCGGTCTCTCCTCTCAGTTCGGTCCCCGCGGGACTGAAGTGGGCCTCAGGGGGTCCGGCTTCTAAAGCGTGTTCAGGGAGTGCCAGGATCTGCTCACATTGCAGTCTGGGATACAGAGACACTACTTATTAGACCAAATCAGATCTAGTGTGTGGAGCAGGTTTCGCTTTAACAGGGGACTGAAATGTCTTAAAATGTCCATACAGAAAAAAAAGTTTCATAATGGGACAAAAATGATATGAATTCACATTCAAAACACCAAACTTTGTATTTTAGATTTAGCCTAGAATAATCGTTTTACTGATCAGCTAGCATGTTTAATTTTTAAACATGCTCATTAGTATTTGATGAAATTTTAGGTTAATTTCATAGTTAAAGCCAGGGTTTTTTTTTTTTACTAAAACTAAACTTAAACCATAAAAAAACATTTTCATAATTTGAAATAAAATAAACATAAATATATTCCGAAATAAAATCATATACAGTATATATTTAAAAAAATATATAGCCAACTACTAAAAATGACACCAAAATTACTAAAACTTTAAATAAAATTTAAAAATAAAAACTGATTCAAAATATTAACAACTATAACAGCATCTCAATGATAATAAAATAACACTATACTAAAAGCACCTACTAAATCAGGCTTTCTCAAAATGGGGGTTGTGTGAGGAAACTGTAGGGGGATTGTGAGTTTGATGAAAAGCAAATTATTTTTTAATCACAAAAATGTAAAAAAAAAATAAAACACTTACTTAAAAACCATATATATAATATTCTGTAATATTTTATTTGTGTACCTGCAGGTCATGGGATCATTAACCGACACCACAGAACCGTGAACATGACAATGTGATGTTAAATTATTAAAATATTAATGTCAAATCTCTTGTGTGAGGAAACTGTAGGGGGATTGTGAGTTTGATGAAAAGCAAATTATTTTTTAATCACAAAAATGTAAAAAAAAAATAAAACACTTACTTAAAAACCTTATATATAATATTCTGTAATATTTTATTTGTGTTCCTGCAGGTCATGGGATCATTAACCGACACCACAGAACCGTGAACATGACAATGTGATGCTAAATTATTAAAATATTAATGTCAAATCTCAGGCAGACTTTAAGTGAATATTTTAGGTGTGAATCCTTGTGCTAAATCAACACATACAACCATAAACTGTAAATAGTTTGAATCAGTGGATGTTCCAGCACCTGTAAGCAACAAGCAGTTGTTGATAGGTGTTGCTCAGACCCTGGATGTGTTTGCGGTATGATCTGATGGCTTTAGTGAGCTGTTTCTCTCTGGAGCGATAGGATGTTTTCACCTCCTCCAGCATGGACTCAACAAACCCCTTCAACTTCTGTCCCAAATCACCATCACCGGCCACAGTTACACACTCCTACAGCGCATTAAAAGATCAATTTGTTTGAAAACAAAACAATTATACATCAGACAACTCAAGAAGCCACTATAAAAAGCGTGACCATATGTGTTAACCATATGTCTGCTGGCTTGTACACGTACTGTCACGTCCTGAATATAGCGTGCAAGTCGTGCCCTGTACTCTCTGTTGAGTTCCTTCAGATGATTTTGTAGTTTAGAGACCTCAGCCGTGGCCTCTTTCAGCTGATGTTGAGAAATAATGAGCGTCTGCGTGTAGAGGGGGAACAAATCAGCAGCCAGAAACACATATGTGACCCTGGAGCACAAAACCGTCATCAGCGCATTCACGCACGCTGTGCAGACAGAGACAAACATCAACAACCTGAACTTCCTTCCTGGTATTGTAGTACTTTTAAATTTTTCTCACCAGTGAATGACACATGATGTAGCCCAGCGGTTCCCAATTCCAGTCCTCGCGCACCCCGCTCTGCATATTTTGCATGTCTCACTTAGTTAACACACCCGATTCAGAAAACCAGCTCGTTAGAAGTGAGCTAAGTGCATGAACTGTGTTCCGATCGATATGATCCCTACACAGTGTTCATTGCTCCCTACTCCCTGAGC